TCGAAGCTCGTCATATGGCGTATAATGTGTTGGTGAGGCGTGAACCTTCCTCCCATCCCAAACACCACCCCTCCCCCTTAAAAAAAGCAAAGAAAAAGTTGTTTTTTTTTAAAATCCAGAATTTCTCAGTTTCTTGAAGGAGGCAGAACAAGTATTTGTGATATGTCAAGGACTGAGTGTCCAGTTGATACTGTTTCCTTAACACAGCTAGCAAATGTTGAAGCTATAGTTAACAAAGATCGTCGAGTAACATATGGGCTAACAGTCCACAGGTTAAGCACCGGTAAGGCATCGGTACTTTACTAGAACCATGTTCAAGACTGGTCCATTAACAGCTGTCTGCAGATAAAAAGGCAACTATTGTGACCATTGACCAATGTAAAACAAACATTTGGATCATTTTATTTGTAAACAGGTATGTTTTTGAACTATATCATCACTTAAGTAATTTAGTTTCATGCTGGATGATATTCAATCATTTACTGCCAAAATATTGAAATAACGCTGCAAAATACTTTTCAGAAGTAAAACTAAAAGAAAAACTAAATCTAAAGCGTACAAGGTATGCACCCGCCCCACCCCTGTGCCTCTGGTGTGTTTCCAGAACTGACATGATTGCTAAGAAGGAAAACCAGGACGAGTTTGAAATATGTTGTTACACGGTACTTTTTTTGTTTAACGTCTCACCAACATGGTAGAGGCAATACGGCGACTTTCCTGCTTTACTGGTTGAGAAATACGCAAGGAACTGTGTTTTTCCGTACTTTATTTTAAGCACTAAATGGCACCTGAGTAGAACGGCCGAGGTCTCGTATGCTAGCTGGATAATTTTCTAGATGTGGAATTGTTTTTGAGAGCAAACAAAAGTCTGGGTATATTTTGACCGCCCCTCGTGCATATGATATAAGCATGTATGTAGTTAATTATTTACTTATTGGTGGACATAGCTAAACGGGTTAAAATACTTACTCTCTTAAACAAAATTGTTATTTGCATATGTTATTATTGTTCTTTAGGTAAAATAGGTCACTGTCCAGTACATTCTTTTCAAGGTTTTCTACCGCATCATTTCTTTACTGATTCAGCATGTTCTATAATGTGCTTGAATCAAAGTACTTGAAAGTACTGGTAGAAGGAAATTCTCGAGTCATGAAAAAATAATCAATATTTTTTCTTGTTCACGCTCGAGCAACCATTTAAGCGCGCGAGGATGGGATAGGGGAACTAATGAAGTAAGGTCCACATGTGCATACTCTGTAATATATCTAGGTCTAAATATTGATAATTCTTTGTCTGTTGATGCTATTGTAAATGATATTCTAATTTCTTTCTCTTAAATTTATCATTTATGTCAAGATAAGCAAGGATTTTAGATTACAAGACAAGAAAATATTTATACAGTGCAACATGTATTATCCATGGTCTTCTAAGTAACGGAATGTGAACAAAAACTTAAAATGCAAACATTAAATTTTTTCAAAATAGAATAGTCAGATTTATTTATAAAATGCTACCCAGAGAAAGTGCCAATAATATTGGTCTTTGCCGATTTGTTTCTGTTAAATATAGAAAACAGAAATAAATTATGTAAAAGCCCACTTTTTAGAAAAAGCTAGACCTCGTACCGAATTACCGAATTGCATTTGTTTGACTAGATATCAGTCTTCGTGTCTTTTTCCCTTTTTTTACTCACGTAAAGTAAGTAACAGAAAATTGATAATTTGATACATGTAATATATCTAAGTATACTCTATGACCACTTCTTAATTAATATACATACATTTGCTTACATAATTACTTGTTCGTTTAATATCTAGTCAAACGCAGATAGGATATACTATTAGTCTTGTTAATGTTGTAAATTTAAAATTTAAGATGAATATCTTGTGATACAGATATTTGTGACAAACTACCAAAGTACTTTTAGACAAAATTTTATGTACTTTTATTATAAAAATGTGTAAGTGTATTTATTGTGTATAATTATGTATGTGTGTTTTAACCTAATATGTGTATATGTGTTTCAACCTTATATGTACATATGTGTTTTAATAGGAATAAAATCAATTAATCAATCCATTTACAATTTGGTCGCATGGTAACTTAAGGTCTCATCAGGGGAGTATAATTTGCCCTTAATTCATCCCGGTGTTTTATAATTATTTCTTGTCCTTCGAGATCATTAACTCCAATTTATTTAGTATTGATAATTGAATACCGCTTAAACCGGTGCTTTGATGGGGAGGAGTGCTAGGGGAAGGTGTTGCGCTTTTCACATGACTCGAGTCTACATTTCAACTATTTGTTATACCCCCGAAACGAAGTTTGTGAGGGGTGTATATAGGAGTCATTCGGTGATCGGTCGGTTTGTCGGTCAGTGGGTGGGTCGGTCGGTGGGTCGGTTGGTTGCTTTCGGTGGGTGGGTGGGTGGCTGGGTCGGTCGGTTTGTTGGTCCGTCGGTCCGTCGGTCCAACGGTCGGTTGCATTTTCCTTGTCTGGAGCATAACTTGAAGACTAATGGTTGGAATTCAATTCAACTTCATACAATGATCAAGCACATTGAGAGGAAGTGCAGTTCACAAGAACCATAACTCCATCTTTATTTATTACAGAGTTATTGCCCTTTGTTACTTTTCCTTGTCCGGAGCACAACTTGAACACTACTGGTTGGAATTCAAAACAACTTCAAAACTTCTAAAGAAATTACAGAGTTATTGCCCTTTGTTACTTTCCCATTGCTTTTATTTTCTCCGGAGCATAACTTGAAGACTAATGGTTGTAATTCAATACAATGTCATACAATGATTAAGCACATTGAGAGGAAGTGCAGTGCACAAAAACCATAACTCTATCTTCGCTAATTACAAAAATGTACAGAGTTATTGCCCTTTGACACTTTTCCTTGTCCGGAGCTAGCTTGAAAAGCACTACTTGGAATTTAAAACAACTTCATACAATGGTCAAGCACAATAAGAGGAAGTGGAGTGCACAATAACCATAACTCTGTCAAGAGTAATTATAGAGTTATTGCCCTTGCTACTTTTCTATTGCTTTTTTCTTGTCCAGAGCATAACTTGAAATTTACTAGTTGGAATTCAATACAAATGTATACAATGGTCAAGTATATTGAGAGAAAGCGCAGTGCATAGAAACCATAACTCTTTTATGACTCATTCCTTTGTTTCTTTTCCTTGTTCGGTGCACAACTGAAAAACTAATCTTTAGAATTCAATGCGACTTCATACAATGATCAAGCACAATGAGAGGAAATGCAGTGCTCAAGAACCATAACTCTTTCCGGACTAATTACAGAGTAATGCAATAAAACTTCATCAATGGTCAACCTCATTGAAAGGAAATGCAACATACAAGAACCACAACTATCTTTAATTGCCCTTAACCATAACTCTATTTCAATTCTTTTGCAAGGTATTCTGTTACTAGTAACTTCCTCATTTCCGAGGCAGTCTTGCGGTGATAGTTCTAGTTTTCATTGTTTCTAGACTTTTTTAATTTTGAAATCGAAATTTTATGGGTGGCGTTAGAATACCGTTGCTTCGACAGGTAGACAATGACCAACAAAAACAGATAATGTTGAAAAACTATTTTATTTCCATCATTAAAACGTCAATAGTTAGTCTGTAGACATAATTACATGTAAGTATGTAGAAAATTTTATATCTAAGATATGACTTTCAGAATAAAATATTTTAGCACAATTTAGTTTCTTCCGGTCACATCAATGTAAACAATTAAATATGAAATCTAAGAATCGACTTTAACATGGTTTGTCTGTGAAAGATACTGATCATTTTACATACTATGTACACACTAGCACCGCTGGCTTAAACAGAATCCAAGTTTCATAAGTACGATGAATATAAATCAATTACTTAGACAAAATCCTGAAGACAATTTTAAAAAATCAATTCAGTATGATAATCAATTTTATTACTTAACTTATATTATACGGTATGTTAACCTGAACTGCTGGTGGTATTGTGATCAGTGCAGACCAAGAAAGGCCGGGACACTTATGCCTTCTGATCATGGTCTGAAATATTTGCTATTCATGCAGTACATGTTTTGAACTTTCCCCCTTGAAATGATGAATAGTTTTTACCATATTAAAGACGGACACGTCTATTTAAGATATAAAGCCTGGTAAGCAATAATATAACTACTGACAAACCAAACTTGACATAGTTCTAAGAGAGCATAAAAATGATAAAACCAACATAATGGCTTTGCGACCAGCATAGATCCAGACCAGCCTGCGCATCCGCGCAGTCTGATCAGGATCCAAGCTGTTCGCTATCAGTTTCTCTACTTGTTATAAAGTTTGTAAGCGAACAGCATGGATCCTGGTCAGACTGCTCGGATGCGCAGGCTGGCCTGGACTATGCTGGTCGCAAACCCATTATGTTGGTTTTGTCATGACGCGGCTCAAATGTAACATGAAATATGATAATTATGGCTTTTCAAGCATTTCCTTTAAAGCGTATGAAGCTTTATCTAATAAAACATTTTTATAAAATCCAAAAAGGTAAAAACATATTGATACCAAAACCTTATAGACCTACAGTCGAACCCAGAACAATTTTTTACACAGAATGTATGATTTAACACACGAAAAAACGGAACAAAATAAAATGCTGCTATTTTAGTAAGGTTTTGACTTATTGGCAAATGATTTCTTGCATGCACCATTCTTTTTTTAAGAAAATATACCAACATACCTCTATCATAGAGGTATTTGTGAAGTTTTCAGGAAGTATTCATTAAAAAACATTAATTTTGTCAACTACAGTCAGCAGATAAATTATTAAACACACTTAATATTAGATTTAAATAATTGATATATTTACATAACTCTAGCATTGTAGACAATTTAACATAAGAGTCTCACTAAAAACAAGTACATAACGCTATGGCTAATGTACAGCTGTTAATGAAATGTTTCAAATCAACGGTATCTTGGAAAAATCTAGTATGATCACAGTCTTGTTGTATAAAGAGTATTTTCATTATATTTTTCAGAATTTTCATCTTTATCCTGATCGGATGTTACAATGTTCTCGTCAGATTTAACTTTGTATTTCAAAGATGCTGTTTTGTCTTTGTCCATTTTATTACATTCTGCAATTGTTGTGGGTAATTCGTGCGCCGTACTTTCCGGAAGCCGAACTGCTAGAACAACAACCAACAGGCACATGCCACTAAATATCGCACCAGGAATCCAGAGAGCAATTAGTGCCTGGAATGAAAAAAAAGATAGCATGCAATTGTGAAAGAAATCTTACAGTAAAAGTGGATATTTCCGCGCGTCGAAAAATCAATGCATTGATCTTCTTTACTTCAGGAATCACCAATTACTGAAAATCACAATCTATAATAAGTATAATAATTGACGTATGGTGAAACAAAATGCAGATGAATGAAATAACTGAAATTAATTGTTTTTTTGGATGGTAGTGTTGGTAGTTTGCCCTCCAGATCACGGCAGTAAGCCACATTGAATTTACTAGTGAACAGTTCAGCCACAGCGTCGTTCCTGGGCAGACTGTCTAGCAGTTTACCGGTACTAGCTGCCTTCACTTCCACAAACAACTGATTACTTCTGTTCATGCCAGAGCTGAGGTACAGAATGAATGATCGTAGAAAGGATCTCATGACAAACTACAACAACGTCCGAAAATCGTACCAGGGTCGCCCGATTCACAGTCTAACGCTATACCTATTGAGCTAATAAAACTGCTTGGGTTTTCTGGTTGACATGAATTCTCTATACATTAGTATTTACTCATGACAGAGCGGTCATTAGCAAAGAAGGCTGAGAAGTGTAGAGTGAAGTTAGAGACAGACCGTTTTAACCGTTCGCTTAGTAATTTACTTTAACCATATTGTTTTTAGTGTCTCTGTCTAATATGAAATAAATTGGAAGTAGGTTGAAAGACCTGTCTATCTAAAATATGCAATGCATGAGGTGCAAGACACATGCATTACATATTACACTAACACTTACACCCAACGCATTACGTATTGTACTTACAGACCTCTTACACCAAATTCATTACTTTATTATAAATAGACAAGTCTCGCACCTTATTCATTACATATTTTACCATTATTTTGGCAAATATCACATCTTACGCATTAAACACCTCTCACGCATTCTCCATTCGGTAGTAAGACTATTAAAATCCATATTTACCAGATTACTTGCAAAGGGAGCCAATATTCCGCCAATACGTGCAATAGATGAGGCGATGCCAAGACCGCTATTTCTGTAAGAAGAAAAAAACGATCTGATATATAATTATATCGTGTCAAGATAAAAATAATTCAATTCATTTATTTATTTATTTATTTATTTATTTATTTATTTATTTATTTATTTATTTATTTATTTATATTAATGTAATGTAATTTATCTTTTGTATCGTAAGCGTAAGCAGAGTATTTCATACGAAATACTGTTTGGGTCATTTCAGAGCTCGTGAAGTTGTAATGTCCCTAGCCAGCTTTCGTAATTTCAATACTTAAGTTAATTCCTTATAAAAGGTACTTACATGTATGAGCTTAAAGCTGTAATCGGCTTTGAGTAAAATGTCTTGATTAGTAGTAAGATAATTTATGAATTTAATATGTCTTGTATTATAAAATATACATCGGTGTATATATCTACGCTTTTTATTGGATTTAAATGAATTACCAATGTTCTAATGTTTTGCCAACGACTTACTTATTATTACATTATGTTCAAACATGATCGCGTGAGACATTATAGATAAAAAAGCTTAAAGGCCCATTATGCTTCAGAAATGCTATCAATAATATTTCTCAAAAAAAACTTTTATTTTTGGTATCTTGTTATTGTTTCCAAAACATACTCATTTGCTTTATACATGCACTATCTTTTTCATCTTTAATTGGTTCTGTTGGCAACTGGCATAATTATAGTGAATTAGTGTTATGTATGGAAGTCAAATTACTATTTTTTTACTACCTTTACGGCAAATAATGCATGTTAAGCTCTTTTTTCAGTTGTTAAACATCTCACATGCACTTAATCCATTATTTAAATATCATTAAACAAATGTTTGACATTTCTAAAGAATTAAAATATATGGATTTCTGAGGCATAATGTGCCTTTAACTTTTAAAGCCAAGAAGCCTAAAAAACTATTTTAACATAATTGTTTAGTTCTTATATAGATCAATTGAAGCACTTCAAATTTAAAAAGTATTCAAAGAATGATAACAAAATGTATTGAAACTTAAATTTAAAATCGTTTTATGTGCGATTTTAGGCCGATCTGAGTGAAAAGAGTTTCAACGCCATCCATTCTTGGGTCATTTTGCACAAAAATATTCTGAAAAATGGGGTAAGAATATGCATTAGACCTTCATTAAACGGTAGATAAATCTCGCCAAAATATTTTCCAGTCCGTTTTTGTAAAGAAACCTCAGTGAAGTCCCTTTAACCTTTTTCGTACAACCTTTGAAGTATGAACCATACATATATGCTGTGGCGCCTTGACAATAACATAATCACATTTGTGGCCAAGGAGATATGCTCAAGTCGGAAGTAAATAATTAATCAGTTTAACATCATTATTTTCCTTAAATACGGGTTGATATTTTTATGTTCTTGATAGTCAGTGATTTCTAATAAATTCGTAGAAGGCACTGCTTTTAGATATATTATTCTCATTATTGAGTAAAACATTTTTATCACAGAAATTTATTGAAACCTATGAAATTCTAACTAAATATGTCTAATTTGAATAAAAGAATGAATAAACTATGTATGTGAAGCTGCGTTCCCTATTACAGGGCAAGTAAAGTTGATCTATAAAAAAAACAACAACAAAAACTGGCATTTTAATGACACTATATATATATTCATAGCGTGTTAAAATTGATAAACATATCATATCTAATTTGAGTGAAGACAATAAAACATGTTTATTTTATATTTAAAAAGAGACTATTTAGTAATTAACATTGTTTCTAATTTCAAATTTGAGCATACGTTATCTTTTTTTTTCCAGATTTTAAAGTGTTTTATAGGTTCCCCGCGGCGATTGTACGATTTCGGAAGAAAATCCAGCGGGTTTGAAAGTTGCCCGCGACATTTTATGATAAAACGATAAAAATTTCTCGGGGGTTTGTGATGGCCGCAACCGCCACCATACAAAGGACATTTACCTGTAATTTGTAGGATAAATTTCAGGTGTGTACAAGAACACAGTACTGAAACATCCTGTACTAGCAGATTTCCCGATTAGAGAAAATACTGTCGAAGCTGTTTTAGCATTGTCATTGTCATCTGTAATGAAAAACATAGTTTAAGTTATATAGTTTGCTGTTGTCGTAAAAAGTTCTAGAAAACATTTTCATAAACTATATTAGCACTGTAAAAAAATCCAGAATATTTTTTCATAACCTACGGTAGCACCGTAAAAAGTTCTAGAAAACATTTTCATAAACTACGGTAGCACCTTAAAAATTCTAGAAAACATTTTCATAAACTACGGTAGCACCGTAAAAAAATCTAAAAAACACTTTCATTAACTTCGGTAGCACCTTAAAAAGTTCAAGAAAACACTTTCATAAACTACGGAAGCACCGTAAAAAGTTCTAGAAAACACTTTTATAAACTACGGTAGCTATACAACATTTCAACGACGAAATTAACAATGAAAGAGTAACTATTGCAACCATTGTGGCACATGAAAATTAAAGCTATTAGGCTGTCTGCTTAATACAAATGTTCGTAAAATGACATATATTTCACATGACAACAAACACTAAATTTTACTTTATCACTTACTAAATATAGTGAGTAAAGCCGTTGAAATGACGAGTGACAGTCCTGCTGTTGCAAACCATAGAATCATTGTTCTCTTACGGCCAATTCTACAAGATTGATTGATTGATTGATTGATTGATTGATTGATTGATTGATTGATCGAAATAGAGCATTTATGTATTCTCTAGGAGAAATTAACAGCAGCAACACATCGAAACAAACAAATATCTCTAAAATTTTGTATAGCTTCGTCATTTTGTTCTAGTAAACATCTGATAAAATGTACTGCCTTCCACTATAATAAACCATAAATGGTCATATAGAAAAAATAGCGTAAACATAAAGTTAATGTTTTACCGAAGATGATTATTTAGTTTAAAAGATACTTGTGATAATCTTTGGCATAACTGAATTTATACTTACTTATTAAATAGATAGAATTCCATTAGCAGTGGTGGGACCTCGAATACACCACTTAAGAAGAAGTTCACAAATCTGTCCCCGGCTAGATGAGTGGATACTAGTGTCAAACCATAGTATGTCGCAGTGGCTACGATCCTTATAAATATAATGATGCGAAATTAAGAAAAAAAACTACATTTAGAGGTAGTCAAACGTAGTCAAATTTTTAACTTAAAAAAAGAGCAGCATGATTGAGGAAGTGGACGTCCGATCAGATCGCGTATATATACGCAGGTATCAAACTCCAAAATTACTACAACAAGTCAAAAATACCATGAAACAGAAAAATAAACGATAAAATGTGGATATTCGTTGGACTTGAATTAAATAATCTGTGGAATTCTATGTTATTGAATGATGCAGCGAAATGCCGCCGGAATGCGCCTCAGTCGCCGAAACGACGATTTCCCGTGTTCCACATTGTTTGGCAAATGAACATATATTAGGCTTTTCACCTTTCTATAATTATAATGTTGATAAGGAAAGAAATTATAACCTTATCGGTGGTTTTGTATTTAGTATCTTATAGTAAGCCTTAGTAGTGATTTTTTTCAGGGTTGTAGCAGGGGTTCAGGGGCAGGGTGTGGTGGGTGTCCAGACACTGATACTGCCACCTGTGTAAACAACTTACTACTACATAGAAGAAATTCCGCCTCTACCGACAGAAATTATCAAAACAGTATATAAATAACACATGGGTTTGTGGGTAACAGTAAAAATATCATCCCGAGGAAAATACTGTTACCCGAGGCGTAGCCGATGGTAACAGTATTTTTACGAGGGATGATATTTTTACTGTTACACACAAACCCATGTGTTATTTATTTTATTACCCCGAACAAATGCTGTGATGATCTGAATTTGTCAACTAAATCTAACTGTTACAAAAATAAACCAAGAGTAGCAATTATAACTAAATTGTCCTTACCTTTTAAGTTTTAAGTGAACTGTAAAGTAGGCCTACTTGAGAAGTTGTTTTGCTTTTATTCTTTAAGCAAGTGATGGTATCTACCAGTCATAAACATACAATAAGCTGTGTTTTATTTAGAAAACAAAACACTAACCCATTTATAAGGTTATGATCTATGAAATCTGATCCTCCTGTATCCAGAATATTCTTCGCATGGTTTTTGACAAAGTGCATTTACAAAATAACGATGATATCCTACAGAAGTCTGTCCACCAACTATATCTGTAACGTTTCACAGGTTAAAATTGTTAAATAATCCTTTGTTGCATGCTTTAATCGTCTGCATGTTCCAATTTGACACAAAATTATTCACATTACAAGTACTTCCGTTGCAAACGGATGTTTACTTTTTGACTATTCAACAAAAAGATATTTTATACGCGAAAAGAACTCTAGGGTGCAAAGAACTAAATTTTATGAGAGTCATAGTTACTTTGGTGATGCCCTATCGTCGAAAATAAGAATGAATTGAGAGAAAAATGGCGTCCATTTTATTTCATTTTCTTAAGACAATAGACCACGTGACCAGATTTTATACTGTTAAAAATACTGTTACCCATGTAACAATACAAAATTCTTAACCACTTGGTACACTTGCATTAACAGTAAGAATAACTCCCAGAGGCCTATGGGAAATTAGCATTACGAAAAAAGTGAGGGGTAATAATAAAAATTAATACTTAATTTCACTAGCAGAAGATTCTATAATAGATAGCAGTTATGTTCCTTTTTATCAATTATTTCAGTGATAGTTTCTTGGTAAATTCACTAACTGGTTGAAATCGTTTCATTAATTGACTGATTCATAAATACTTACCATGCATACCACAGTATGAAAGTATTTACTCGGAGTGCTGGGTTTCTAAGTATATCTAAAGCATTGTATTTCTTAGCATGTACTCTATGACGCTTTGCCTTCTCATTTTTAGTTGCGTCATCATCAGTGTTTTCAATCGAATCCAACTCCGTGTCAATCGAGTTCGATTTTTCCATATTTGCTTCAGCGAAGTACGGAAGATTTTCTACCTTTCCATAATCAACTTTGTTCCAATTTGTAGCTTTCCGGAGTATTTTCTTCGCTTCTTCTACTTTCCCGTTAGTCATTAGCCATCTTATGGACTCCTCCAGCATCCTTTTTATGAAAATAAAATAACAACACTCATAGTACAGTCCCTGAGGACCTTTTGTGTGCAAAAAAGGTCCATAGATAAATGTTGTATTAATGTAAAGCTAAATGTTTGAAGTTTACAAAAATTTTGGGTAGACATGTCAAAAATGGTACGTTGTGAGAAATCCAAGATGGCCGCCAAGATGGCCGCCAAATTATTGAAAAATGGCTAATACGCAATTTATATGATAAAATTAGTTCTTTTTTGTATTTATTTTGGTACAGTTGATGTTAAAACTTCACATTCTATTGGAACAATATGAAAATGGAGGCATTTCCATTATTTTTTCATATTCTCTGAATTTCATAGATAAATTTGCTAAAAAATGCATGAAAAAAATTATAAAAAATTGATATGGGGCTGACATTTTTTCCTACCAGCTAAACCGCTATGCCAGCGGTGTAAATGAATATTTTTACCATATACTTCAAAGACTTGAACAAGATCATACTAATATCACCCTTATTTTTTATTTTTATTGTAAAATAATGTGGATTCTGAAATTCTTAAAGTGGGTGGGGTAACGAAAACTAAGTCTCAGTATTTTGTTAACTGGTTTGTTATGATAATTTAAACTATGAATAGTCAACATGTATTGCACTTTGGCATGTACCTAAAGTTATAAATAATTAAGAAACTTGATATTTTGTTTATTAATATTAAACATGTTCTGTTGCCATGGCAACGGGGAAGTAAAATGAAAGACACACCTGAAACGTATGACATTTTCAACTGTTAGCATTTTAAGCATGTTGTTAAGAATGACACAAACTTATAGATAAATAATCTGTGCATTATGCCATGGTAACAAATTGAAAAAAAGTAACATTAAAAGAAGTCACATTTAATTCTAGCAAATTATCATTACAGATAACAGGCAATATTTTGAAATTAGATGAATAAATTTATTTCAAGAATTTGCATCATGCATTCGCTTTTTTCAAACTGCTATACATAGATATAGGTCATGTCAAATGTGAATGTTGTTATGTTTGGAAAGGATAATTAATGGTGAAAATAATTAGTAAAAGGCAGTCTTAGGTACAAATGTATATAAACATTATCAAATGTTTAAAACTGTACATAGGGTAAACATTTAAGACTTTGCAGCTAAAACGAGAAATAAATAGGTCACTGGTTCAAATTCTAGGTCAACCAATATCAAGTTTTAATGACAATCGAATTTATTGTTGAGTTCAAACTTTTTGGTTGTAGCTTGTATTATGAAATTCTAACTGGCATTAGATAAAATTCTAGGTCAACTGATCTCAGTGTATAATTCTGCATCTGAAATTTTACAATCAAAATACAAAGAGATCACTAGAACAGATTAAGGTCAGCTGGCATGATATATTGTATCTGTTATCCAAATTTCTTTAGCTTCAAAAACAAGAAAGTAGGTCACAAGGTCTTAAATTCTAGGTCACCTTATACCAGTGGGGCCATGATTTGAACAATCAAAGAGGAACACAAGACAATTCTTCCAACCAAATGGTCTTGCATTGTGGTTTCTGACTTAAAGAGTTTTTTTATATAAAAATCGACATCTAGGCAGGGCCATTTTTATGCTCCCCGAAAAATTATGGGGGAGCATATAGTCGCCGGGCTTGTGTCCAAAACCTAGTCGGGGAGCATCTCCCGGTTATTGTTTTAATCCAGACTCATGATCATTATTTGATGCCTGCAAACTTAGCACTTTACGGAGAGTGTCGGATGTGAAATCCAGGCGTCTCTTGATCTACAGACAACAATTGATCTCGGACATTGAGTTTTACGGTCATTTGTCTGTCAAAAAAGTTAGTACCGTAGCTTAGTAGAAATTGGTCATTACTCTTCTGGTTATTTATCCATGAAAGTCAGATAGTTTAACCAACTTTCAAGCTATCAACAAAGAAGTATTGAAGTTGGCGTATAACCCAGACCCGGCCCTTTCATGATTTGAAGAAACATGGTAAAAGTCTTCTAGAAATTGTTTCATATGCTCTAAACAATGGGGTTAAAGGGATGATTTTATAAAGGATTTTATATATAAGTTAGACTATGTAAATCAATTGATCCTTGGGAAAGGTAATTATAATCAAACGGATCATGACTTTACCAAGCTAAGAAGTTATGTATTATTACTTTTATATGATTTATCGTGACATAAATTGATATGGTCATAGAATGAATGCGTCACACTTAAATGTCAAAGCATTTTATTTATGTAAAGAAAGTTTTCAAAGCCTTTTCTTTATAACACAAAGTAAAATGACTCCTGGGGTTAGGTCAACTTTGACCAGATTGTCAAGATTTGAAAAATAAATTAAGTTTTTTTTTGACAATGCTTTTAACCCAAAATCTAAGATCTGGGCATTTGGTTTTGGAAAGAAATATGATTTTTAAAAGTTTTCCTATGTGTCTCCATATGAAATAAGTTGACCCTAGGGGTGGGTTAAATTTTCATTTGAATAAATTTTGTACTGATCTATACAAGGCTACAACAGAAATAATTAGCTATAGGCATCGGTTTGGGAGAAGTTATTTTTTTAGCTTATCCTATATGTAAATTGAAGTGACCCCTGGCATAAATGAATTTGACCACAAGGTCGTGATTTAAGCAAATTTAATAGTATTCTTTACTAGGTCCTGCAGTTATGGAGAAGAATATTTTCATGTTTTTCCTATATTTACACTGTGTAAAGAAAGTTTACTCCGGGGCTTCGCAAGAAACATGAATGTGTACTTCTTGACCCTTTTACCAATCATGACCTTGCTGTTGTGTCATGCATATCATAAGCACATAGTCTCACGATGGCGATTATTTGTGCCAGGTTATTTCAAATCTTCCATAAAGTCAAAAAGTTATGGAGAACATATAACCTTGACCTTGGTTGCAGCGACCTGGATTTTGAGGTCTGTAGATTGTGTCGTGGTGGGGATCATTTGTGCTAAGTATTTTTAAAACCTTTGAATTGTCAATAAGTTATAGAGCGGACATGAAAAAAAAAGTTTTTACATTGGACCGTTGAGTGTGACCCTGACCTTCAGGGTTGTGACTTGCTTATTGTGCTCTGCCAATGGTGTCATAATTTTGATCATTTCTGCCAATTTATCTTAAAAACATTTCAGAGGTTTAAAAGTTAGAGACAGACACGAAATGTAGACTTTCTAACATATGAACTGTAAGTGTGACCCTGACCTTTGGGGTAGCAATTCAATTATTGCGATCTGCACATCGTCTCATAATGGTGATCAATTGTGCTAAGCTATTTAAAAAAAATTTCATAGGTTTAAAAGTTATGGAGGGGACACGAAATGCAGATTTTTATACATTTGACCTTGACCTTTGGTGTAGCAACCCAAAGTTTGCGTTCTGCACATGTTCTTATACTGGTAATCAATTGTGCCAAGACATTTTTTTTAAAATTTCAGCGGTTAAAATGTTGGAGCGGACACGAAATGTAGACTTTGTAACATTTGACATAATGGTGATCCGTTGTGCCAAGTTATTTCAAAACTTTACAGCGTTAAAAAAGTTATGGAGCGGACACAAAATGTAGACTTTTTATTATTAAATGAAGACTTTTAACATTTGACCTTAAAGTGTGACCTTGACCTTCGGGTAGCAACCCAATTATTGCGCTCTGCATATTGTCTCATTATGGTGATCAATTGTGCCAAGTTATTTCCAAAAAAATTTCAGGGTTCAAAAAGTTATGGAGCGGATACGAAGGTGTTACGGACGAACGGTCTGACATACGGAGTCCATTCCTATAATCCCCTTTCCGCTATAGACAGGACTGACTTTGAGAATTTGGCTCCCTATAAGATGCTAGATGCATTTTGTAGTACAAGTGGTATCTTGGTGAATTTAACCTATTTAAGGTATGCTGAATCCGGTAAAAGTGGATACCAAATTGAAAAACTTGATCTTGACCATGGAAATGGCCTTTTGAAATGACCACTAAAATATATAAGTAATATAAAAGATAGTACTGAAAAATTTAAGGCATTTCAACATAAGAGACCTGTATTTAGGGTTTACGCCGCAGACGTTTCACTCTTCCCTGCCCTATCTGCTTGATTTAGGGCTTTCATGTATTTTATCTGGCACTCTATGCAAGCATATAACTTGACTACTCAGATTCCTACTGCGTATGTGTGAGGAGGTTAAACATGTGCATGCAAAATATATATTAATTAAAGGCACCTGTCTCTGAGTACTCTTGGGTTTTGATGCTCGTTTTTTGTTATCGGCATCGTCGTCTTCGTTCTTCTGTTATCGGTCCTGGTTCTTCTCAGTAACTTTTGTTGTCAGATGTTCCTGTTATCGGTTCACGTCTCTGTTTTCGGTCGTCGTCTTTGTTCTTTCTGTTATCGGTTTCGTCTTCGTTCTTCTCCGTTCATCTATCATCGGTTCCCAACTCTATTCTTCTGTAATCAGTCCTGGTTTTCGTTTTGTTGTTGTCAATTCTTCTGTTATTGGTCCCCGTCTCTATTTTTCTGTTATCAATCCTCTCTCCGTTGTCTTGTTTCTTCTATTATCGGTTCCTATTCTTCTGTTATCGGTCTTCGTATCTGTTCCCTTGTTGTCAGTTCTGCTATTATCGGTACCTGTCTCTGTTCTTCTGTTTTCAGTCCTCGTCTGTTCGCTTGTTGTCAGTTTTTCTGTTATCGGTCCCTGTCTCTGTTCTTCTGTTATTGGTCGACGTCTCTGTTCGCTTGTTGTCAGTTCTTGTGTTCACGGTCCCTGTCTCTGTTCCTCTGTTTTCAGTCCTCGTCTCTGTTCTTCTGTTATCGGTCCTCGTCTCTGTTCGCTTGTTGTCAGTTTTTCCGTATCGGTGCCTGTCTCTGTTCTTCTGTTTTCAGTCCTCGTCTCTGTTCTTCTGTTATCGGTCCTCGTCTCTGTTTGATTGTTGTCAGGTCTTGTGTTCACGGTCCATGTCTCTCTTCTTCTATTTTCAGTCCTCGTCTCTGTTCT